GTTTGCAATAGAATTTAGTTATTTGTCAGGTGAAACGGTGGTTTGAGCCAAGAGGCTGGATGGTCGAATTTTAATGCCTATTATTCAATCTGTGCTGGAAATCGCACGCTGAATGACAATACCGCGTTAATCCTAAGTCCGAACAAATATTTGACCTCTGAGGGTTGTCGTTCATAGGGGGATATCTGATTAACGGAGAAATAGATTTCAACAATGTTCTCCAACAGATCTTCAAATTGGATGTATACTGAAGTTAGACAGGAGTCTGCATGGGGTAACAATTTGTTTAAAACACTTCAATGATAACGATTACAGAGAAATTTCGATTATCCCTTCTTCAATGCTGGCACTCGACGAGCTACCTTGGCTCACTAGTACCATCAGAATGATGAGACAAAGCTTTACGAAAATATGAGGAAATGAAGTCAGAAGGTCACTTTCACTTTTTTAAAGATATTTCAGGTATGAATTATACAGAGTGTAACTGAATAAGTGTAAAACATTTGGTGAGGTGATTCCTCATCGAAAAAAAGATATGATCTTTCATATAAAGAAACTTCATTGGAGCATCCCTTGTTGAGATACAACCCCTTGAAGAGAGTACATAAAATATGCATAACAATTTTTTTCACGAGCACTAAAAAAGTTACAATATTGAAATTAACCTGACGTTTCGTACTACCAAAAATACACTTAGCCATGAATTTATTTGGTTTACCTAATGGTTGTAAGGGGTGGAAAACGCAACCCCTAAAATTTATTTCCAATGTAACTTTTTGTCTTATTGTTTGTTTACCATTAAANTTTCAATATTGATTGCAAATCGATTCTTAGCTGAAATATTGGTGATGCGATAATCATTTTACATTATTTCGAAGAGGTCATCGAATTTATCACTATGTGTTGAGTACATTGGCCTAATTATTCAATATGCCCAATGCACATGCACATTTCAAGACTACTATCCATGATAATAATCATAGAACTTTCAAAATGAATTTCATTCAAATCTGTTTCTTAGAAGCAATATTGTATTGTACCTAATTGTTTATTTAAATTCTATTCATTCCACCAGATTCGATAATTTTTCTAATGAGTTCTGTCATCACCTACTGCTATATAAAAAATATGTAGAATAGTTTATGTACCAGTAACTGATAAGGCTAACGTGTACCGAAACGCGTTTCAAATATAATTAATTGTGAAAATTCCATGATTATTGTCACGAATAGTATGAATAATTTACATCTAGTGACGGGTGTTCCACAAGGTTCCACTCGGAGGTCCGAAAATGACTAAAATGAAGTGCTATGATGAAAAGCATAAGCTTTTAAGCCAGATCGAGGACCGAGGTCCAAAATGATTATGTTTGCGACACCTGGTATATTGCGTTTCCGAGACGACTGTTATATCTTTCTTATCTTTGAAATGGATCAGAGAGACAATGAGCAATTTGGATTTTCTGCTGCTACGAGCGCTGGCTTCTGATTGGTCGACTCTGCGGCAAAAGTGGGGTGGGGGTGGTCTGAAATGGGTCTATTCCCATAAATACACGGGATATTCCCACAAATGCATGGGATAAATCCCATAGATAGAGGGAAATGTCTTCGGGAAATGTCAGTGAGGCACTGTTTGGAATCTTTGGTGTAGTAATAAATATTACTGGAGTCTTATCCCAACACCAAACCATTATTTCAACACCTCGATCATCTTCAAGAGGAAGATCAGCCACTAATAGTTTCTAGAGGGGTATTGTAGATGATATAATAAGGAAGAACAAGTTTAGGCTGAGAATGAACGAAATCCCGACTTTTAACCTGCAGTCGGGCGCACCTGATCTGACAGGCACAAAAAAAAATTACTTTTGATATAGTTTCGTCAACAACTTGTGTCACTATTGGTAAGTAATATATGTATTTTCATTTTTCGTTCAAGTCGACTCACTGAGACAGTCACGATCTGTGAGATGCACGCGCCCGATACTGTTACATTACAAAATTGATTTCAGGTTACAAGAGTGAAATAGCTTCAAGCAGAAGACGTTTTAATCCAGATGACCCGCAAGATGCCGAAATGCTACGACGTATGCTGGAGGACGACGATGATGATACTGTAAATGACATAGACTTAGAAAGTGATAGTGAAAACGAAGATGATGACATTGAGACAAGGGAAAAAGGATCTGAAACTGAACAATCTTCGAGTGAAGACGAAGATGATACTGACAATGATTTTTTGGGGAAGGATAAAATAACCAAATGGGCTGAACGCTGGAAACCTTCTAAAACTCGTGCTCATAATATACTCACAAAAATTGCTTCTGCTAAAGAAGCTGAATCAGCTGTTGATGCTTGGAGCTGTTACTTTACCGACGTGATCTTGGATTTGATTATGAGGTGGACTAATCAGCATATAGAGTCAATATCCGATAGGTTCGAGCACGAAAGAGACGCCAAGTTAACAGACAAAGTAGAGATTAGCACTTGAAACGAAGGAAGCTAGTTTCCCCTGGCCTGCCAAAACATCTTGAATTGAAAATCCACAGGTATACCATACAAGTGTACTACACATTCAGGTATACCACACCTTTGGTGTCTTGAATTGATTTTACAATTCGCCTCATCTTAATTCGCCTTAATTCACATTGTAAATTGTATGCTATACCTGTATAGTATAAATAGGATCAGCCTTGCAAGTTTTTCCAGTTTGATCTTCCTTTCGAAGATGGTCACTTGGTGATCGGAACACGTGTCGAGGTGTTAAAAATAACGTTTTGATGTTGGGGAAAACCCCAGGGATATTGACAAAAGCCAAGATGAATATATCTCAGTTTCATACCATCGATACACGAAGAACTTTGTAAATATTTTCAAGGAACTAGGTACGAAGGTGGTTTTCAAAACAAGTCATACACTACTGAGACTTTTATGAAATTCAAAAGACAAAGTCGAGAACTCGGAAGAGTCTGGAATTTACGAAATTGAAACATACTAATATTATGAATAACGATGGTGGACCAATACCTAATATTATTCTATATAGCTGGTTGAAATAATATTTTAATTATTAGATTTACCTGACTATTACATACGGACACATTGTAAAAATAATTTAAGACTAGTAGATGAGGCAATATTGTGAAATTAATTTAGGATGCAGGTACCTTGAAGAAGTATCTATGGTATAAATAAGGATACCTTTCTAAGTATGTTTACTTTGATCTTTCTGTTGAAGATGATCACTTGGTGATCGAAACACGTGTCGAGGTGTTAATATCACCGGTTTGGTGTTGGGAAAAAACTCCAGTGACATTCGACCTCTGAGGACAGTCAAGTCCAGCAATATATTCGTGGTTCGGTCTATCATCACTGATGAGACATATGTTTGGGATCTAGTTTACAACTAGTTGCCCAGCAGTGAAAGCTGCAGTGAAAGACAAAGGACGAATCTTGCTGGATATTCCAGCATTTAGATTCTTATGTTCCACCAAGGTTTGTATATTTTACCTTTTCTCAAATTACTGAAAAAAACAGTTTTTGTGTCAATTATCAATTTTAGTGTTTGAACACAGCTACACAAAAAAAACAAATAATCTGTTTTCGTTATCATTATTTCCTTCATTTCAAAATAACCTCTAAAAACCTGATCGTTTCGTAGATACGTAGTTCGAAGATATTTGGATATTTGCCGAAGTAATGGGAAATGTTCTCCAATTCGGGTTATTACAGAAAATGCAAGTTTGAACAAAATAAATTTGAGTTTGATTCATGAGTTTTCCAAATTCACTTCTAAAAGTATTCAAATTGATGTTTCAAATATTGGGTTTTAATTTTTAAAGGGATTTGTTTCTAATTCACATATTGGCAACAGCGCATATATCAAGTTGAAATGATTTATACGTACCTAGATATTGTACTTTGAAAAAGGAAAATTATCTTCATAAATCAACAATTAAGGCAAAATATAAATTATAGTTCAATACCACCTCCACAAGCCACATAAACAATAGTTTTGTTATTTATTCATATAGAGGAAGATAGGTTAGGTGCACAAAATTTCATATGTCACAGAATGTCTCGGAACTCGAAATATAAGTAAACAAAACAGCACGCCTCTGAAATATGTCATCTTTGTTTGTCTCATACAGGTAACAGATTCATTGTCTTTCATTAGCTATAATTGATGTTGCCAAATGGTGAAATAGAAACGAATCCCTTTAAATGTTGAATGCATTATTTCATTTCTCTTTTTTAAGTATTTGAATAATTCTTCAAAGAAAAAGGTTGAAATGATAAGTTTAAAATGCGTTGTTTTAGAGTTCTTTCATGAAAACTACTCGATTTTCGTCAGGAGGAACATTCCCCATTGAAATGAGATGAAGAATATCACAAGCGTCCTGATGGAAATTCAAATGGCTACAATTCAGATCAACTTAGGACTCCAACGCATATAAATATCGCAGTGAAACAATTAAAGAGCCCCAAAATCGTTTTTCAATATGGAATCAATATTGCGAAATTATGTTGCTTTAATATTTGCAATCCAAATTTCCTGACTGAAAAACTGTTTGATAAATGTTGTTCGACTAAGTACACCAAAATGATATTGAATGAATCATTTTTGTTACACTATTATTGTAGTAAACATCAGAAATGGTTGTACGGTCCATTTTTTCTACTAGATCAAATAACTGTTCAAGAAACGATTAAAATTGCATAGTTTCATGCATCCGGTAACGCCTACCACACATCATCAAATGTCACTTTAATTTCAGTACGGACTGCTAATGGGATAGTACAAGAAAAACAATTATGAAATAATAATTCTAATTCACTTCTGCATATGCAACAGTATGCCAGTTACACACCCTGTTCCCCTTTTTTCTCATAATTCTTTGAAAAGATAGACAAAAAACAGACAATAATGAACACTGACATGCAAAAGGTACTGAAGCATTCAGAATACTACCGATAAGTACAGTGAAATAGTTTAAAACTCACCCAGACCGTTGCTGATCTATTATTTGACATTTTCTTTATATATGAACCGAAATTTCTGATAAGAAATTGACATTTTCATGATAGCCGTACTGTAGCGAGGACATCGCCGACAAATCGATTTTTCAGACACATGCGCTGATGACGCGACGCCAAATAGCGGCTCTTTTAAATTGTCGCCCACTAGTTAAATGTGCTATGTTGACATGATCAAAATAAAAATCCGATTCTATTGCAAACGAAGGCACCTATTTCTTCTATAGGAGGAAAGATCATTTTGCGCAGAGTTCAAAAATGGTATATCAGTTTTCCTGATATCCCATATTTAGTCGTTGGCGAGAGGCATGACAGTTACAAGTGTTTTGCGTGTTCAGCGATTTCCTGCTATCGAAAAAAAGAAAAAAGTGGATAAAAGAATTTGCATCAAGTTTATAGTAGCATACGGAGATTGTACTTTGAGTCAGAACAATGTTTACTTGTAGTATAAGCTCTTCATTGAAGGTCGAGAAGATGTGAACGACGACTCCCTGGAAGCTCACACTCGACCAAATAAACCCAGCTTGTTAACGAAGCCGATTAGTTTGTATGGTGAGTGGTCTTTCAGGTCAGACGGTAAGAGTACGGCTCTGCCGAACCTGATTCGGTCCCCAGCAGGGCAGGCATAAAGTATATGCTCTGCTGTTTCATCTTTAATGGGGTAGTCGGATAGTCAAGGTGATACCCGCGACAACCTTCTCACATGAGGGTCTTTGTACGTCAGCTACACCTGACGATGCCATAGATTAAACCGTGTAGGGCTTTTTCGCCTCTGCTTTTGGTGAATTATCACTTGAGCGCAAACGTTTGCTAACCTGCTCACGGGGGGTTTGTTCCTCCATCTGAGACAAATTCTGCGTACGCCGCTCAAGAATTTGGTGCAAGGCGGTTTTATAAGGTACCCCACTCTTGAGGAGACGACTCAGTCATTTCCTGGCTGCACCATCAAACCTTTTTTTTAGGTTCAGTTATTGGATCAGGAGTTGGACAGTTGAGAATCTCTCGCTCCTGATCTAAATTTACAGGGAGGTCAGTTGGAGTCGTAAGCTCGATATGCATCTCCTATGTAGACTCAGCGTCAGAAAGAATTTTTAAGTTTACTCTGTTCATAAAAGTTCCACGAGTAGCTAGGGAAAGAAGGTCAATCACGGCAGAGCCCCGTATTACCGTGACAGGGCGATGCTACGACGAGAGGGCGCCTGGTATCTCAAAGGTTTCGTAGAGACAGCTGAAAGGTTCAGTGTCATTCATCCTCTCGGCACGGATTCACAGACCTTAGGATTAAGCCATTGTTGGGATGCCATTCAGTTACAGAATATCAGAACCACAAGTGATTTTGTGATTCGCGTATCCAGCGGGGCTACGTGGAAGCAGGCATCCGATGGCCGGATTGCTGTACCCCCACATCTCAAGCCAATGCAGTCGCCAAAAACAGCACGCACAGTTGTGCAGGCAGTGAAAGATGAACAAGGACAGCCAACTAGCGGTGAGAATAGGTGTGATCCGCAATAAACCCTTGTGGGTTGCGACCTAACCTAACCAAAGTCGGGAAGCTCCGGTCATTCACCAACTGATGAAAAAGTTGAAAAAGTGAAGAAAATTGTGAAAATTTCACTGTGGTGTTTTACATGAATGACGACTATAATTTTTCATAAATCATGGGCTTTATGAAAGATTTCAAAAATTGAAGCACATTATAGAGGAACCTAATGAGATCTATGAAGAGGTTCGTCATGTTCATGACAGCAATAGCTCAGGAACTAGAAAAATAGTCATCAGTAGTATTCAATATCAGGGTTTGAAATGGGATCACTACTATTCTGACTATATCTGCTTGTAGTATTTATATAACGGCAATTACTACCTATAGTTTCTAGAGTTAGCAGCCTTCTAGCATGAGTAAATTAGTCAAAGAGCACATAACCACATCATAATTCCCAATTTACTCCTGGATTTTTGGGTAAACATTAATTGAAATACAATACATACAAATGACAAAGTTATTGTGCGGCTTGCGCAAAAGTCCGGAATAAAATTAATATCTTTTCAACCAGTATTTTAGGAAAAAAATGCTCAAACACTTCAGTTGATATTTTGTTGTACGCATTTTTTGGCAATGAAATGAAATATTTTTTTCCAACCCCTTAGCTGCAACCCTTCCCAACTTTTTTTTTTCAAATGCAAACATATGTCGTGTATGGGCTCATTGAAAAGCTCGTAAAATGGATTCTGACCATACCCTTTAGTTTGTTTGTGGTTACAACGAAATGAGAAAAAAACTCTTTTGAAAAGTTACAAATACCTAACTTAGTGCTATCTACGGGTGAATTAACGTAACAGATGCTGAAATTGGCCTCCACTCTCTACTTGGCAGGCTCCTAGGCGATGGTAAAACCCGTCTACGGAATTCCGAATGGCCTTAGCCGGTATGTTATGTGATTCCACTCTAATTCTGCTCTTTAGATCTTCATGTTACACCACCCATTAAATTCGATTAGAACAGCATTTACCATTTGTGTCATATCATTAGATGTTTTACTAGAAAGAATGATAGACGTGTCATCTGCATAGAGAAATATTTTTCCATGACTTATATTGAGAGGAAGATCATTTACATATAATAAAAATCATTGTGGCCCAAGAACGCTGCCTTAAGGGGTACCTGTTGTAACTGAAAATTTATCCGACTTGATATTATTCTGCTTTACCTGGAAACATCTACTCGCCAAAAAAGAAACAATTAATTGATTTATTACCACGAATCCCAAGGTGGAAGAGTTTGTCTGCTACAAATTTAGTGTTCAAATTGTCGAAGGCTCTGCTCAAGTCAAAGACGACTCCTACAACAATATTTTTTTCGTAAATTAAATCATGTATGTGTTGTGTGGAATTTAGCGTTGCGGTTTCTGTTGAGTAGTTCTTCCTGAATCCATGTTGGCACTCTGTCAGATCGAAGGTTTCGAGGTAGTCGTTTATTCTGAGAGATATTAGTTTTTCCAAAATTTTTGAGAGTACGCTGATAATTGATATAGGATAATAATTTTCGATACTTTTTTTGTCACCACTTTTCAATACGGGTACAAATGGCAATTTTGAGAGGATCAGGATATTTTCCAAAACCAACACATAAATTCATAATATGCGCTATTTGGTCTGATAATGTATCTACACATTCTTTAATAATTTTTGTAGAGACCTCATCATACCCTGTGCTTTTTTCATTAGGTAATGAGGCTATGATTTTTTTTACTTCGTTTGTTGTTACGGGTTTGAAAAACATCGTTGTAGTAACATTCGCCATTGTTGTGCAGCTGTCTGAGTAATCACTGCTGTCTTAGTAATTGATATTTCGAAAGTTGCTGAATACAGAATTCATGAATATGATAGAAATACAAGAGGCGGTGGTTTGATGATTTCTCTTAAAAATGAACTTCGTGATGAAAACATGAATTCACCATCTACTGTTTTTTGAATTTTCGTAGTTCAAACTGGGAATAGAGAATGAAACCATAGTCCCAGGACTATTCTATAGACCTCATACTGGGGATTCAGCGAATTTTCCAACGAAATTTGAGAGAATGTTGAATATAGTTTATCAAACAGTCGATGATGTAGTCTGCTCCGGTCACTTCAACATTTATATACTTGAAGTGAACGATAATAATGTAGATCATTTTACTTCTGTATTAGACTCATTCAATCTTGATCTATCACTGTCAAAGGCAGATAAAATAATTGAGTGTGAACTTATGATGCACTGTTCGGAAACTTTGGTGTAGTAATGAATATTACCGTTATTTTCAATTTTTTGGTGCTTGTGAAAAAAATTGTTATACAAATTTTATGTACCCCCTTTAAGAGGCTGTATCTTAACAAGTGATGCTCCAATGAAATTTCTTTATATGTATGATCCTTTTTTTTTTCGATGATGAATCACCTCCTTGAATGTTTTACACTTATTTAGTTACACCCTGTATAGTTCTAGACCCCATGCATTGTGGATGATCTTAAAACCACTTTGAAATCGAACGTCGCAATACTGAAGTGATAAAAAATGATACTGTTGAAAAAATATCAGTTGAAATGAATCTTCCTCACATTTATGAGAAAGACTGCAACTCATATTCGCGAATAAATTTGTATACCTTCATCAATTATTCGAAGGAAAAATACCTTATAAGTGGACAGAAGAATGAGAAAAGAATATATCGAACATGAAACAGATAATGTCGTTATCGTGGTGAATCAAGAGTGCTTCATTTTTGGTTTCAGTTTTTTCACAATGTATTTCTTAATCTTCTGGACTATCCAGGACTATCCTTAGCCGTAGTTTTCTCAAGATAAAGATTGACAAAGCACATTAAAACAAGCTGTATGAAATATAAAGTGAATTCCATTTGAAGTGAGCCTCCCTGAATAACTTTGGGTACAATGATTTGCAGGAAAAATAAAAAAACACGTCAACCGTAGTATACAGGGGTACACATTTTGACATATTCAAATTCGATGTTACTTCCCCTATCGCACCCTCAGAGCATGTCACCAATTTTTTTAAATGGATCATCCTATATTGTTTCGCATAATCAGGTGCTCCATGATGAACAGATTTCAATAAAGTAGAATACATTATGGTCTGAAGCTCATGGTTTGGAAGCTAAAAATTATTTGGATTGAAAACGAGTTCAGGTGAAGTTACAAATGGTGTTTCTGTTTTTGTGAATTCTTGAGAAGTAATGGTTTATACGCCTCGAAAACGGATTGAAATAGTTAGTTTGTACTATCAGAATGAAAATAGTGCTAGAGCTGCTGCCCGTATATTCAATGATAATCATCTAGGAAGAAATGAACGACACAAATACTTTTCAGAATTATTGGAAAAATTTATGGAAACTTGATCTGTTAATAGAATTTGTCAACGATGAAGCTATTCGTACTGCAGTTTTAGGGCACGTTGGACTGACGGAAAATTCGCAATCTCTTACTAAGTAATCTCGAGAATCAGGAATCAATCGTATATATGTTTTCAGAATCCTTCATAAGTACAAATTTCATCCATAT